GCTGGACTCCCACATGGCTGACTACAGTTCAAGCCCAGGACCTGGTGGCTTACTTTCTCATTTTCCCACTCTCTGTCTGTCTGATCAAACTAGAAAATAATCATAATAAATACAGTTAAATTGGGACCAGCAGTTGGTGTAATGGCTATGTCGTGAGACTCCCATAGTTGATCGCGGTTCAAGTCCCGGACCCGGTGGCTTAAACTCACGCCGGGCGCGTGTGCGCATATGCCCAAGATCCCGAGAGGAGAATGGAGAAGGAACTGCAACGTGGCCATCCCCCCTGGGGGTGATTTCTCACTTTCTGTCTCTGTCTCTCTCTGTCTTTCCAGCAAGTGCAAGTGCCCCATAGCTAAAACCTCTAAAAATAAAATAAAATAAAAAAATAGAGTTAAGTAATTCTTATAAAAGACAATCATGTGAGGTATGGGGCCAACAGATGGTGTAATGGTTATGTCACTGGATTCCCAGTTCGAGTCCTAGACCCGGCAGATTAAACTCACGCCGGGTCCATGTGCGCTGAAAATCCCGAGGAGATTGGAGAAGGGATTGCACCGTGGCCATCCCCCCTGGGGGGCATTTCTCACTTTCTCTCTCTGTTTCTCCGGGAGGAGTGCATACACGCTAAGGTGAAAATCTCAAAAAAAAAAAAAGGATTGAGGACTGGCAGGGGTACCCTAACTATGCTGGGGCACAGTCTCACTCTACCTGTCCCTACTGACCATGCTCTGATGGGAGAGTATGAGGGAGGTTTCTTTTACCAGACTAGGCTGTTTGCTGCCCACCCCCCCCAAACCACCACCTCAGTAAGAGTGAGTAACAAGAAGGCACTGAGTCACACGTGGTGACACCAGCTGTCACCTACTAGACACCATCACCTTATATGGGGTAAGTCTAGAGCAGAAGTTATCTTAGATATTTCCTCACTTCCACCATTGACTTCCTCACAGCAAATGGCTGTATGAGGAACTAAGAACAGGAAACAGGGAAGCACTGAGGCACAACCACCGAAGTACAAGGGCCAAAGTGGACAAGGAAAAGAATGTAAGGAAAACAAGCAGAGATTGGGGCCCATCTTAGAAAGGCAGGAAGGCAAGACCTGTAGGTATTTATGTCAGGTGAAGTTCAGCCTGTGACACAGTGGCTAAGGCAGATGGATCTCGCATAGCTTTCAGTTCAAATCCCAGACCTGGCAACTTGAGAAACATGCCAGGTGTGTGTGTACCCCAAATCCTGAAGAGAGAGTTGAAGGGACTGATCATACCTTTGGTGGGTGCTTTCTCTCATCTCCCTACCCTACAAGTGCATGCACACTCTAGCAAAGTTAAGGAAGTGAAAAAAAGCCTAAGACAGCCAAGAAGGCCCGGTTCCCGGCCCAAGGATGACTAACAAAAACGGTCCCCACTGTACTTCTGGAGATGCATTAGCAGACAAATCAATAACTATAGGGGACTGGGTCATAGCCAGCAGCTTTTACCTAATAGAGTGCATCCTCCTTCCTTCCCCCAGGTCCAGAGAGCAAATTAGGACTGCAGGGGGTAGCCGCAGGTGTGACTGCAGGCAGGGAAGAATCAGAGCTACTGGAGTCCCACTGGCTTTCATGACACAAGCCTCAAGAATGTAATAATTTAGTGTTAAAAGCAACTCCAGAGGCTAACATCATCACAAAACTATCACCCCACTTAGAAGTCTGAGAGCTGACAAATTAAAATCTAACAGCAATTATCCATATTTTTAGCATAATAAAGTCTTAGCATTCTGTTGCCATAGAGATCAGTGAAGAATGGAGGAGCCCCACAGAGCCTTGCCCCAGGATGCAGGCCTCAATTTGTCCTCAGGCTGGGAAGCCAGGCTCTTCCCCACCCCTTATGAGGCTAACAAAGCAGGTGTAAGGTGCCACCTCTCCTCTGACCAGGCTACTCCTGGAATACTCAGCTCTGTGGAATTCACTGGTCCCAAGTCTGTTACCTTAGGCAGAGCCATGTGGAAAGCAAGCATTGAGGGGAGGAAGCAACAGTAAACATCAGGTCACAGGATCCCTGATGTGCAATAACTAAACCCCTTCGGATTATCGATCTGGGATTTCTACTACGAAGAGGATCAGACGGTCAGACGCGAACACAAAGGCCAATAGGGTAAGAATAGTGAGCCTGAAGCTTCTTTGGTACCTTAACTCAAAATTACAACTCCCCTAGTGAAGGTGCAGAAATGTGTTACTGCCATCTGGTGGAAAGACAAGATTTGTCCTTAGGTACAAAAGGGATTAGAGGGGACCAGCAGTTGGCATAATGGCTGTGGCATAATGGCTGTCACTGGACTCCCATGTAGTCAACTGTGGTTCAAGTCCCAGACCCGGTGGCTTAAACTCACGCTGGGCGCGTGTGCATGCATACCCAGGATCCTGAGAATGGAGAAGGGATTGCGGTGTGGCCACCCCCCGGGGAGGGTGATTTTTCAATTTCTGTCTGTCTGTCTCTTTCTGGAGAGTGCATGCGCCCTGTAACAACAAAAAAAAATTCAAAAAAAAGGGGGACCAGCAGTTACCATAATGGCTATGTCACTGGACTCCCACGTAGTCAACCACAGTTTGCGTCCCGGACCCGGTGGCTGAAAACTCACGCCGGGCACACGTGTGTGCATGCCCAAGATCCCGAGAGGAGAACGGAGGAGCAGGGATTGCGGTGTGGCCACCCCCTGGGGGGTGATTTCTCGCTTCCTGTCTCTCTGTCTGGCGAGCACACGTGCCCTACAGCAAAAACTACCTCTAAAAAAAAAAAAAAGGATTAGAGGTCGGCCCAGTGGGCAGATAGTTATGAAGACACTAAAGATGAAGACAAATGGCAAAAACCATTGGACTTGGGTAAGAGATAAGAGATGGGACACCCCACCCAGGATTTGTCCTTTGTCCGTTTTTTTATTTTATTTATTTATTTATTTATTCATTCATTCACTTATTTTAATTTGACAAGAGAGAGACAGAGAGAAAGCAAATCACCATGTCCAGGACTTGAACCGTGGTCGGCCATGTGGGAGTGTCCAGCACCTTAATCACCATGCCACCTGCTGGTTCCCAGTCCTTTTGTCTGTTTTTTAAAAAATAATTTTATAATTTTTAAATCTGCTATAGGGCTCACGAGAGAGAAAGCAAGCTGTTGGGTCTGGGACTCGAACCAGGGTTGGCCATGTGGGAGTATAGTGCCCTGAGAACCACGCCACCTGCTGGCCCCTCTGTTTTTCTTTTTAAAGAAAGTTAAGCAAAACAAAACAAAACAAAAAAGCACAATGACATTACAAACGATTTATATCCCAAGAACCATCGTTTTTTGGCTTGAGAAGTTAGTATCAGACACACACCCACTGACTTGAGACCACACGCATATAGGTAGCAGCCACCACAAACGGGACTGCCTTTTGTATAAAGTTCATATATATATATTTCTGTACACTGACACAAGGGTATAAAATCCAGTGAGATGGCTCACATGTATCCAGGCAGGTGATAGGAGTGGCTTTAACCACCAGGGTCGAGACCTGGCAGAGGCACACAGGAAGTGGAGAGTAGCATCCTTCCCTCCATCCTCCCACCCTGGGCCATAGGGAGGACCTGGGAGAAAGGACAAGTATACAAAGGAAGATGGAAGATACTGGAAGGTAGCCCATCTTTTACTAAACTCCTGAAAATCTCTAAGGGATTCAAAATGCCTGGCAGTATAGATCACCCCCATGCCTCCCGGCAAGATGCTGAGCCTACAGTAGTAATTCTAGCCTCGAGCTGCACAAAGCTGAGGTCTAAGGCAGCTTACAATGCACATCTGTGCTATCTTCCAGGGCCCTTGTAGTAGAAAGCCAGCACCTTCAAGGTTCTTCCCCCCCACCACCACCAAACTCTAAAGTCCTATTGATTCAGAGGTCTTTAGGGTATTCCTTGACAGACTGTAGAATAAAGGTATAAGAAAAGGAAAGAGGTTAGTTCCTTCAGTTAATGCCCTATGGCCTTCCCAATGGGGAGGAATTGAGGAATCACTAAGAGGTGGTTAGAAAGGGCAAGGTCAAATCGGGAGACAACACACGTAGAGAAACAGGTATTCAGTGTAGGTGTAGATTCTGTTCAACTGGGAGTTTTGCTCAGCAGAGTCCATTCCCAGTGGGGCCATGGGCAGGAGCTCTCCTTGGTGTCTGAGGGTGGCCCCAATTCCCCCAGAGTCAATGTCCATGTCCTCAGGATGGCTTGGTCCACAAAATGGAGAGACAGGGCCATGGAAGAGTAGACGTGAAGAAGGAAGTAGCAAGACCCAGAGGCACAGGGAGGCAGTGTACTGTGCCGCCGATTTACCTGTGGGAAGAAAGAGCGGTAAATGAGAAGTCAAGGAAAGAGAATAACTATAAACTAAAATGATTTAGGCCCTGAGACTCACATGGTCTGGGGGGTGAAAAGGCTGGAGAGCTGGAAGCACTGGGAGGCAATTGCCTGAGAGGCAAGGTTCAGGGCTGGACTCAGAGCTAGAACAAAGAGAAACAGAGTGAGTGAGCATAGAGCATCCTTCTTCCAAGGCTCCAACCTTTTTCTCTCCCTTTCTAAAGTCCAAGTTACCAGTCAGAGCCGCAGGGTTCAGGGCCCCCAAGGGAACTGCTCCATTCAGTTGCAAGGCAGCAGCTTGGGCGGCAGCAGCTTGGGCGGCAGCAGCTTGGGCGGCAGCAGCAGCAGCAGCAGCAGCTGTGGTAGGCAGCTGGAGTCCAGAACCTAAAAGGAGAAAAGGTGGGGTTGATCCCAAACCTTCTATCTAAAATTTAATCCTATGTTCTTCACCTCGCAGATACTCTACCTTCAGCCAGTTTGGCCATGAGCTGCAAACGTCCACCTGCTGATCCCAGATCCAGTTCTTGGTCCCCATCAGGAAAAGTGATGTCCGTGCTACCATCTGCTCGCTCAGTCACATGGCCAACCCTCATAGGTCGACCAGCCAGTTCAAAGCCATTAAGCTGTTCCAGGGCCCGCCGGGCACACTCAGAGTCAGAGAACTATGAGAAATCCAGAATGTGTCAGTCACCTCCTGGTCAAAGACATGCTCTTTAAGCATGTCTAACACTAACACCCTACTCCTAAGATTCCAGAAAAATTGCATGTTCTCTATGGTAAAAACTTATTTTCCCAGGGAATGTGACTTAAAATACCCATCACCCCAAAATAGTTCTCATTTTTCCACGGTCACTATTCAGTCTTCTAGTTCCACTAAGAATTTACAATGCCAAAAAGTCTATTATTTGTAGGAAACCTAACCTGCAGGCTATTTCACAAATGGACATATAAAATCGAAGGAAAACAGGCTGAGAGACAAGGCTACCGCACTGGGCTTTTAATTTAGCTCATAGAACTAGTTAAGTCTTAGTTCTGTCAAGTACTAGAAATACTAGAAATCTAGAACTCCAGCACCCAGGCTTAGGAGGGAACACATCCTAGTACTGAGAGCAAGCCAGCATCCATACTCCCACATACACTCCCACATACACACCACAGCTGCTGCTGTGGCCGCTGACCAGAGGGTCTCTGCTCTCGGCAGCAGCATAGCAGAACTCTGGTATAAAGAGGATTTTCCAGTCTTTTTATTTTTCTTGACACATTCCAGTTTGTGGAAGTGTCAAGATTGTTGATCCAAAAGGCAGCAACACAAGGGCAAAAAGGCCCCACAGAAGCTATTCAACATCTGAGTCACACAGAACCAGAGGTGACTGCCAGCATAAAATCATCACCACCACAGCTGGCTTTGTTTACTCTGCTACTACCTGCCCTGGGGCCTGGCATGGGATACTGATAGTTCCGAAGCAGGTGGTATAGTGGGTTTGCCTGTATAGGACACTTCTTTTTTTTTTTGGAGAGGTTTTCGCTACAGAGCACATGCACTCGCCAGACAGACAGAGAGACAGAAAGCAAGAAATCAATCCCCAGGGGGGATGTTCACGCCGCAATCCCTTCTCCTCCATTCTCCTCTCGGGATCTTGGGCATGCACGCACATGCGCCCGGCGTGAGTTTTAAGCTACCGGGTCCGGGATGCGAACCGTGGTCGACTACATGGGAGTTTAGCAACACAGCCATTACGCTAACTGCTGGTTCCCATGTATAGGACACTTCTGAGGTGAGAAATTCCTAGGTAGAATACAATCTGCTGCCTCTTTGCCCTACAGACAACTACAGGGTGTGTGCTCCTTGGAGTAAACCCAGAAAATACCAGGTTTTATCAGACTTTGTGCTGGTAGCCAATTCTTAACCTGGAGTCACATGGGGCTGGAAAAACCAGTTACAGGAATTAGAAACAATTTTGTTAGAATGTCAAGAAAAGGTGAAGGTTATCCACTATCAGGAGGCCTCATTGTCCCTGTAGTGCTTTTTTAATACAAAGATCCTACTCAATGGAGAAAAATTGCTTCAATTAGGGTAGTACCAGAAGAAGTTATGTCTAGTCCCATCCCATTATGAGAATACACCAATTTTACAAATAGCATGTCTTGAAAACCTCATATTTAACCTCCCTTATGCCCCCAACATTTCAGCTGCAGCCTGGAACCATTACTATTACCCAAAGAGTAAGTTGCAGCACCAGCAAAGCTGGTTGAATTCCTGGACACTCCCATACCAAGGCACTGACAGAGTGCAGGGACAAAGCCAAGATCTCAAGCAATGCACTAATCTCAAGGGGCAGAAGGCTAGTCCAAGCTTCAGGTATCAGGGTTTATGGGTCATTTAGATAGTTCCTAAAGGAGGAGGACGAAGCCAAGCTGCAAAATCAGACAAGTGGAAAAACTCAAAGTAAAATTTAAAATGAAAAGACTAGAGCTCACCGTAATGAAACCATAACCTTTTGAACGGCCTGTATCGGAGTCCTTCATCAAGACAATATTATCAATCTGAAGAACAAGAAGGAAGGATCAGCAATCTTTTCTTTGGAAGAGGTTTTTGCTATAGGGCGCGTACGCTCACCAGACAGACAGAGAGAGATAGAGAGACAGAAAGTAAGAAATCACCCCCTAGGGGGGATGGTCACGCTGCAATCCCTTCTCCTCCATTCTCCTCTCGGGATCTTGGGCACGCACGCACATGCACCCGGCATGAGTTTTAAGCCACCGGGTCCGGGACGCAAACCGCGGTCAACTACGTGGGAGTCCAGCAACATAGCCATTATGCTAACTGCTGGTCCCCAGGATCAGCAATCTTGACATGTGCCCACACCTGTGATTCTTGCTAGTCACAGTGTTCTAAATCCCTCTAATTTTCTAGCAAAAGTGTTATACCTTAAAAGATTTGAAGGTCATATTTATCTAAAACACATTTTCTGACTAATCTTAACCTGGGCCCAATTATTTGAGTTAATTGTGTCTGACTTATTTTTCTACTGAGCAGCATAAAGAGATGAAGCCTAACTTTCACCATGCCTGTTATAATGCAGGGAGTGTGTTAATCATAGCCAGACAAAACAGGGTATACTCATTCTCCCCACTTTTTCCAATTTCCTTCAGAGGTTTCCCTCACTGTCCACTCACTTTGCCAAAGGGCTCAAAAATCCCCCGGAGCATGTCTTCAGTGATATTGAAGTGCAGGGAGCCCACGTAGAGGCGCATTGGTCCACCACTGCCCTTCTGCAGGTTGTTGGCCATCGCTGCTAGTCGGTTTTTCTCAGCCTGGGGAAGTAAGAGGTGATGGGATCATGTCCCACGCCCACCCCCTCTTTCCTAGTTTTGTATTATTTCAGTTTTTCAGCTTGCTCACCTGTGAGGCCTGCACAATGATAGGCACTCCCAGCAACCGTTGCCCAGTCAGCCCAATAGCCAGTGGCACAGACTGGATTTCACAGAATTCGACATAGGCAATGCCCTTAGAACGACGTGAGTTCCGATCTGAGATGATACGCACATCACGAACCTATCAAGGGCACAAAAGAAATTCTGAGCTGGACATAAAGAGAGAAGACAGGCTACTCAGAATGAAAGTAAGGTGGAAGGATTACCTTGCCAACAGCAGAGAAAAAGTCCTCCAGGTCTCGAGGTCGGATGCGGGCTGCTAACTGCATACAGAAAACCGTGCGAGCATCACGCTCCTCAGGACTCAGATTATCAACTGGCTCCCTAAAGAGGAAGGTATGCTGAGATCATCCCTCCCAACACTTGGTTGCCAGGACCCCTGAGTACTTCACATTCCTATGTATTGGCTCAAACAATCTTTTATTCATACTCTTTAATCTCCTAAAAAGTGCTCCTAACTCACCTGACTGGGCTCTTTTCTCTGAAATGAGGGCTCTTACTGTGTCCAAACCTACGCCTAAAAAATAAGAGAAAAAGTAAAAGTGAAATCTTAGGCACACCTTCACAAGAGAATCACATTCTTTTTTTTTTTTTAATAATTTATCTAACTTTATTCATCGTTATTATTCTTCAAATTGACCAGAGAGACAGAGAGTGAGAAAGCAAGCTGCCAGGGGAACCAGCAGTTAGCGTAATGGCTATGTCGCTGGACTCCCACGTGCTCGACCGCGGTTCGCATCTCGGACCCGGTGGCTTAAATCTCACACCGGGTGCGTGTGCGTGCGTGCCCAAGATCCCGAGAGGAGAATGGAGGAGAAGGGATTGCGGTGTGACCATCCCCCCTGGGGGGTGATTTCTCGCTTTCTCTCTCTATGTCTCTCTCTGTCTGTCTGGCGAGCGCACGCGCCCTATAGCAAAA